ACAAGTTTTCCATTCCTCAGATCATCCTAGTAGCCCTTTTCTGTACCTGTTCCAGTTTGAATTTATCCTCCTTAAACATAGGAGACCAGAACTGCACACAGTATTTCAGATGAGGTCTCACCAGGGCCTTGTATAATGGTACTAACACCTCCTTATCTCTACTGGAAATACCTTGCCTGATGCATCCCAAGACCACATTAGCTTTTTTCACGGCCGTATCACATTGGCGGCTCATACCTGTGATCAACCAATACTCTGAGGTCCTTCTCCTCCTCTGTTACTTCCAACTGATGCATCCCCAGCTTATAACAAAAAATCTTATTAATCCCTAAATGCATGATCTTGCACTTTTCACTATTAAATTCCATCCTATTACTATTATTCCAGTTTACAAGGTCATCCAGATCTTCCTGTATGATGTCCTGGTCCCTCTCTGCATTGGCAATACCTCCCAGCTTTGTGTCATCCGCAAACTTTATTAGCACATTCCCACTTTTTGTGCCAAGATCAGTAATAAAAAGATTAAATAAGATTGGTCCCAAAACCGATCCCTGAGGAACTCCACTAGTAACCTCCCTCCAGCCTGACTGTTCACCTTTCAGTATGACCCGTTGTAGTCTCCCCTTTGACCAGTTCCTTATCCACCTTTCAATTTTCATATTGATCCCCATCTTTTCCGATTTAGCAAATAATTCCCCATGTGGAACCGTATCAAATGCCTTACTGAAATCGAGGTAAATTAGATCCACTGTGTTTCCTTTGTCTAAGAAATCTGTTACCTTCTTAAAGGAGGAGATCAGGTTGGTTTGGCACGATCTACCTTTTGTAAAACCATGTTGTATTTTGTCCCAATTACCATGGACCTCAATGTCCTTAACTACTTTCTCCTTCAAAAAATTTGCCAACACCTTGCCATTCTACAGATGTCAAACTAACAGGCCTGTAGTTACCTGGATCACTTTTTTTTCCTTTCTTAAAAATAGGAACTATGTTAGCAATTCTCCAGTCATACGGTACAACCCCTGAGTTTACAGATTTATTAAAAATTCTTGCTAATGGGCTTGCAATTTCATGTGCCAGTTCCTTTAATATTCTTGGATGAAGATTATCTGGGCCCCCCGATTTAGTCCCATTAAACTGTTCGAGTTAACCTGATTTTCCACTCTGCAACTTGAGCCTTTGGGATAGGGACCGTCCTTTTGTTCTGTGTTTGTGGAGCGCCTACCACCACGGGGTCCTGGTCCTTCACTGGAGCTCCTGGGTGCTACAGTGATGCAAATAATAACCAATGCAGATGGAACATGTAGTAATTATTAATAAGAATAATGTATCCCTGTCCTTTATATAACAGATAAATGGAGATTTTACTTATACCGAAGTTGCTCTCTGGAAGGGAGGGCAGGAAGCGGAGACCAATTGCATGGTGAAAATTCATGCAAGAAGCTAACAGCTGGCTCCTCCACACTCAGCGTGAGCTACAGATGGGTCTCTCATACCATCTCCCAAGCATTGCTGGATTCAGATTCCAGCTCTGACTCATCTCAAGCCGCCTCTGAAGCTGTTCTGCCCTGGAAGAGATCACCAAGGCTTGTAATTATTAGAAGAATAAAAAGATGAGGACTGATTGCTGTTTTTAGCCATCAACACCACGCCTGGCCAGGAACTGAATTGGAGAAATGTGTGCAGAAGAGGAGTGAGGGGAAACTACTGGCAGTTTGGCTCATTAACTAATATTCCCCTGATTTATTATGTCATTATTTGGCCTTGTTTTTTCTATGTTCCGTACAGTATTTATAAGGCAAAAAATTCCACCCCCGCAAATGAGCATCTAGAAAACAAATAGGGAGAAAATAAGTGGATTTTAATGTAATCTAAAGCAAAAGTGTTGTGGTGGTGTTTTCTTTGTTCCCTCCCCCGTTCATTCTCAAGCCAACATGATTTCAAACGGCTGCAGAGTTTTTTGTAATGTAAACTTTTCGATTTTTATGACCAGAAGGCATATGAGGTCAGCTGGTCTGATCTCCTCTATAATAAAGACCATTGAATTTAACCCTGTTGCTCCTCTATCAAGCCCAATGGCTAAAGCATCAACCAGAAAAGCCTCCAGTCTTGCTTTGAAGACATCAAGGGATGGCGAATCCACCACTTCCCTTGGTAGTTTTGTTCCCATCACTAATCATCTCACTGTTCCAAGTGTGTGCCCGATTTCTCATTTGGATTTGTCTGGCTTTAACTTCCAGCCATTGGGGCTTGTTCTGCCTTTCTCTGCTGTAAGAGCTGGTATTTTCTCCCCGGTAAAATATGGGAATTGTGTAGGGGACTCAAATCAGTGGGGAGAGTTCAAAGTAACAAGTCTTGAAAATCGAAACCTTTTGGGCCTCATTTTTGTTCTTCTTGTGCTTAGGTTAGCATTTTGTGCTGCAAATAATCTCACTGAAAGCAATAGAATAAAGTGACTTAATGTATCTAAAGGGGACAGAATCTGGCCCTTTTTAAAATGTATTATTTCATAAAGTTGCAGAATGTACCAGTGGGTGTTGGGCAAATTGGTTCCGGGTTCAGTTTGAATAAGATCCTGGAAACCAGTGTAACAGCACAGTGTTGTAGACCAGGGCCATTCACTTGAGCAGAAGCAGCTCATGTTTTTAGATCCAGAAGTCCTAGGTTCAATCCCTGCAGATGTCTAGGTATACTTGGTCCTGTTTCAGTGCAGAGGGATGGGGTTTGATCTTGAGGTCTCTACCAACCCTACATTACTATGGCCTGGTCTACACTACCGTGGTAAATCGATCTAACTTACGCAACTTCCGTTATGTGGATAACGTAACTGAAGTCAACATAGTTAGATCCACTTACCGCGGTGGCGACACTGTGCCGTGTCGACGGGCGAGTATCTCCCGTCGATTTCCCTTACACTTCTCGGGGAGGTGGCGTACACAAATCGATGGGAGAGTGCTCACCCATCGATTTATCTTGTCTTCACCAGACCCGCTAAATCGACACTCACTGCATCGATTGCAGCAGTTTCGATCCAGCTGCAAGTGTAGACATGCCCTAAGATTCTTTGAGCGAGTCAGGAGCATTGTAATGTGAGCATGTTTATATGAACGATCAGAACCCTTGGCTCTGCAATATTAGGCTAGAAGATTCATGGGCACGAGTTTGCTTGTGAGATTCCTGGCACTTCCTACTTCTGATTGGACTGAAAGTATCACAGAACCCCCTTTATCACGGCATGTCTTACTGTTTGCACTCTGATCCTGACTTCTCTTTCCACCTGTAATCTGTGGAACAAGCCAAGCAATGTACTTTCTCCAGTATTCTCCTATTCCCGCTCAGACGTACGTGTTTCGTTCCTCCCACCACGAAGCACTACTAGGACAGCACTACTTCTCTGAGCTGGTACAGGAGGGCTTGGGGAAATGAAGTGAACTGGTGAGAAGTCGGCACTCATTTTCTGCTACTCCCCATCAGCTTGCTGCATTGTAACTTAACAGGAGGTGGGAAGATTAAGAGCCATAACAAACGCTGTGATGTCTCAGTGTTGTGGTGTTTGTAATTTACATTAGTTTGTGAGCAAGGAGGAAATACCCTGTTTATTTAGGGTCAACCTCCCTGCCCTTTGGTATCCCTTCCTCCGTTTCTTATTCTGTTTCACTCAGGCACCCCAAATATCTCCTGTTCCTCCTCCTTGAAAGAGGCTTGATGGGCTGTAACACGATGGGTGACTTATTTTTGCAGTAACGAGCAGAAGGGAGCACTCTGCCCAGCACAGGAACATGCCTGCTGTGAAATGCCTGTAGCCTGACATTTTGGAGATGAAAAATCTCAAATGCTTTTTTCCCCACCCCCCTGGTTTTGTTCTATAATTGGAATTTGAAAATCAGCCGGGTGTGATTATTCCATCCGAACGGGTCGTGCTGCCCTGCTGTCTCAGGTTGAATTGGGCTTGGAAGGTCTGACCAAATTCTGATCTGCATCGCACCAACATTGGGTTCAGTGGAACTGCTCTGGATTTGCACCAGCGTAGATGAGATCAGAACCTAGCCCCTGGACTGTCGTTTCAGAGCTTGGTTATTTTCTTTAATTGCAGTTGGCATAGAGATGGAATGCCAAATCCAAACCTCTTCAGACTTGATGGGTGGAACCTTGGCCCCGCTGTGAAGCCAGTGGGAGTTTTGTCACCGAGTTCAATGAAACCAGGATTCTATCTTGTGGTTCTAGGATTAGCTATAAACTTGGCATGGTTCCATCTCCAACCTAGAAGGAAACTTGGCATAATCAGTAGAGGAATTTCCTGCCATCCGGCGTGGATTGCACGGAATAACACTGAGTTCATGCTTAAAAAATAAAGGCATTTTCTTCTGGCAGACAGGTGTATTTGAAAGACTCCAGAACTGTAAAATGATCAGACCAGTTCTTAAAATCTAGTAGGACTGGTCACTACCAACACCACTGTTTCTTTTTTAAGTTACAGAGCATTGAAAACTACATTGGTTTTGGCTGTAGTAGACCGGTAACATTTTAGATTAAAAATAGCATAGGTCTTCTCTTTTTTAGATCAAATTTAGGCCACAATCCATCAAAGCACTTCAACACATCCTTGTCCTAAGCACATGAATAGGCTCACTGAAATAAATTGGGCTAGCCATGTGCTTAAGTTCTCTGCTGGATAAGGGTCTTAGTTTCCAACCGTGGAAAGAGGCATTCATAATACATGGATATGGACTGGTGAATTTACAGATATCCCTAGCATAGATCAGGCTCTGATGCCATTTGCATCATTCAGCAAACTATGGCAGAGCATCCGCGGCGGTTCTTATTCACGCTAATTATCACAGGAAAATCAGGAGTTCAGAATCCTTTGTAGAATTGTAGTTGTCCTGTGTTTAAAATAAGCCCAGCGTGTTTGGAAAGATTGAGATGTGACTCTCTGAATGTAGAGAAGAGCCCCATTTCCTGTCTCTGACCTTGAGCTGTAACTGTGTTCTTTCCTGCAGCCATGAAGGCAGATCGAAAACGTTTGAAAGCAGAGAAGACAGACCTGGTAAGCCAAATGCAACAGCTCTACGCCACGCTGGAGAGCCGGGAGGAACAGCTACGTGACTTCATCAGGAACTACGAGCAACACAGAAAAGTAAGCTCCTGCATAGCCTGTCCAGAATTATCAGACACAGATGAACATGCTATGTTGGGAAAGAGTCAAAACTGCTTTTGTTAAGGAAAATCATGCCTCACCAATCTATTAGAATTCTTTGAACATGTCAACATTCATGTGGACAAGGATGATAAAATTGATGATAACGTTCTTGGACTTTCAGAAAGCCTTTGACAAGATCCCATGGATCAGTAACTGGCTAAAAGATAGGAAACAAAGGGTAGGACTACATAGTCAATTTTCATAGTTTAGAGAGGTTGATAGCGGGGTCCTCCAAGGATCTGTACTGGGACCAGTGCTGTTTAACATCTTCATAAATGATCAGGGGAAAGGGATAAAAAGTGAAGTGACAAAGTTTGCAGATGATACAAAATTAGTCAAGACAGTTAAGTCCAAAGCTGACTGCAAAGAGCTACAAAGGGATCTCACAAAACTGGGTGACTGGGCAACAAAATGGCAGATGAAGTTCAGTGTTAAATGCAATGTTAATGCACATTGGAAATCATAATCCCAAGTATACCTACAAAATGATGGGATCTAAATTAGCTGTTACCACGCAAGAAAGAGATCTTGGAGTCCTTGTGGATAGTTCTCCAAAAACATCCGCTCAATGTGCAGCACCAGTAAAAGAAAAGCTAACAGAATATTAGGAACCATTGGGAAAGAGAGAAAAAATAAGACAGAAAATACAATGCCACTATATAAATCCATGGGAACTACACACAGCTTGAAAACTGTGTGTAGTTCTGGGCACCCTATCTGAAAAATTATATATTAGAATTGGAAAAAAAACAGAGATGGGCAACAAAAATGATTAAGGATATGAAACAACTTCCATACAAGGAGAGATTGGGGCTGCTCATATTAGAAAAGAGACAACTGAGGGAGGATATAATAGAGATCTATAAAATCAGGAAAGGTGTGGAGAAAGTGAATAAGGAAGTGTTATGGGAAGGGAGAAATAACACAAGAACCAGAGGTCACCCAATGAAATTAATAGGCGACAGATTTAAAACAAACTTAAGGAAGGACTTCTTCACACAGTCAATTGTGGACTCATTGCTATGGGATGTTGTGAAGGCTACAAGTATAATTGGGTTATAAAAACAATTAGATAAGTTCATGGAGGATAAGTCCATCAATGGCTATTTGTCAAGATGGTTAGGGACACAACCCCATGTTCCAGGTGTCCGTAAGCCTCTGACTGCCAGAAGCTGAGACTGGATGACGGGCTGGATCACTCAATAATTGCCCTGTTGTGTTCGTTTCCTCTGAAGCCTTTAGCTCTGGTCACTGTCAGAGACTTAGTTGGGTGCCATCTGCACCAATAGCCTGTATCACACCACAGAGTCCACCTTCCCGTGCTCTTGGGGCTACAGATTCCATCTCTCACTTCCTGGGGACATGCTGAAGCCTTTCCATTGATATCAGTGGGCTCTGGATTAGGCTCTAAAAGCCATGCCATCTGCACTATCCAAAGCAAGGGGCTGATGTCCTATTGGCTCTCTCTGTACCACAGTCTACAATGGCTTGTATTGAATCTGTGCATTGGCCTTTCTAAATTGTCCTGAAAACATTACCAGCCCACGCAGAAACTCTTTGATCCTCCCCATTGAAGTCAATGGCAAAAGTCCCATTCACTTCAGTGCTGCAAGATCAAGTCCAAAATCTACTCACATTACTGTGATGAACGATGGTAGTGAAAAGACCTGGAGAGATTTAACTCCCTGATCAAAAAAAACTTATCTCAGGTGAGTGAGCAAATAAAAGGTTGTAAGGCAGCTGGCAATATAACTGTAGAAACCGGAGCCCTAGTAAATACATAAATACAGGAAAAGTCAGGTCAACGAGCAAAGTTAGCGGTGTTTGATTTAAGAGTATTGCTCTATCCGGATCATGTAACTAATCGGACTGGAAGAAATCATTGAACCAATATGGTGTGCGCGCTCCCGCTCTCTCTCGCTCTCTGCTCAAGGGAATGAACTTTTACAACGGGTTATTTCAAGGACAGGTTTTGTAATTGTCCTTAAAGTTAAGAGCTTGTTAAAAGAACATACAAACTGCAGTGACTCTAGACTAAGTCGCTCAAGAATAAATAGCATCTCTCTGAAATGTTTTCAGCATCTCTGCTCTGTTTGCAAGAGGATATATATAGAGAGACAGTTTCCTGTTTTGCTTTTGATTAGGCTGCATAGAGCTATCCGCTCCAATAAACAGCCATGGGAATCAAACATCTGTAATTATTCTGGGCTTTTTTCCATGCAAAGAGAGAAAGTTTCTATTTTTAAAGTATCATAACAAAGATCACTCGAATCCAGCTTTCGGCTTTTGCAGAAAATTGTATTTTTCTTTCCAGCTTGTGTGAGAAAATGAATACAATTTAAAAAAATCCCAAAGACACGTGCGGGAGGAACGCATGGAGGAAGGCACATAGGTTGGGAGAGGCTCTGTGCGCTGGTCATTTGCTTGCAAGAATGCTGGAGGTTTTATGATCTCTGCAGCCCCTCCACTTGCTTCATCCAGATCTGCTGGTAGGATCTTTATGGGAGTCTGAGGCAATTCTTCCCTGGGGGCTGTGTTTGCAGAGAGGCTGAGGGTCATGTCCTCGTTTCCACTCTGTGGCAGGCAGCCTGCGTCTTTTCACCACTGATTCACTAGAGAAACTTAGTGTATGAAATAACCTATGAACTGGGGTCTGGGCGACTCTGAGGTCATCTCCTGTATTCATGGAGGAGGATCAAAGAGTGTGTGAAAAAGCATCCTGCCTCTTCCTTGTGCTTGTTCTCCCAGGGCATTACATAACATTTCTCCACAAGCCTCAAAGGAAATGACATTGCCATCCTGGTCTCAAGGACCCGCACCCATAGTCTGTCGCAGTGACCTCAGCGCCTTAGGTCTTGTCCACAGTGTGACTGGAAACGGTGCAATGAAGTGTTGAACATCCAAGACTCAAACTCTAGCTGGGGTCAGTGGGAGTTGCGGGTGCTCAGTGTTTCTGAACATGATTGTGGCTAGCAGCGGTTTTATCCCGTTTTCCCTAATCACCAGAGAGGATCTGCTTATTCTGAAAGCGCTGTTGGTCAAACCAGGCTATAGACTCTCACGACAGCATGGCTTTCAAACAAATTGTCCAGGAAAAAGCACTTGTCTGCATGGCCGGGGAAACCACGCTCTCGGCAACAGAGTCTGTAGGCTGGTGTTGGTAGAACAGTTTAATCTATAGTATGGGGAAGAGCCAACAATGTTCCATCACAGTGGTTGACGGGTGATGTAAACCATCGGCCTGCTGCCCTCTATAAAAATGTAGGGCTTTGACCTACCTCTGATAACACCTCTGAACACATGGGAGTGTGGAGGGGATTTCAGTGGGAAGCAGGATGGAGGGATGGCGTTGCTGATGTTTTACGCTGATACCCTTTCCTTGTGTCCCCCGTGTTAATTCAGCCCTCTTCGGTCCAGTGCTGTATGTGGAAGGACTGGCGCTGTTTGGCTTCTACATATATGCAAAACTATTGGTGAGGCGAGAACACTGCTGCCTTCATTACATGCAACGTTGGGGGTTGGTTTGTGTTTTCCTGAGCTTGGCCTTGCAGAAACTGAAACGATCGTTTGACTGTGACAACAGGAACTGCTCTCTGAATGTCCCCTTTAGCCATTCTGGAAAGGAGAGGGATGCACAGAGGTTTTTCAATAGGGCTAGAATTTAAAACAATCAGACTAGCTGCAGAGCACGTCAGCCTGGTCCTATTTGGTATAAGCCACCACTCCCATGTACTAACACCTAGTCTAAGATTCCCTGGGCCTCCGAGGCATTTAGGCACCCAGTTCCCATAGGCAGTTTTGCAAATTTCAGCCTTTGGGCTCGACCACATGCACAGTGACGGAGGGGGATGTAAGCAGTCCCCTTAGTCCCCGTGCATGGGCTACCTATGTTGCCAGACCCTGCATGGTGTCTGGGGAAGCAGCTGGTGCTAAGCTGCTGATCCCGCATCTCATGCAGGTGTGTGGGCACGGGGCAAAGGGCAGACCCAATCTTAGCTCCACCTTTTCCTCCTCTCTCCAGCTGAGCTGCCATGCAGAAGGAAGTAACCACGGAAGCCCCAGGAGAAAAGCATTACAGCATCACACTTCCGTCCCTGCTTCCCCCTTTGGTCATTGGGCAAAGTACGCTGTGCACTGGCCCCTGGACTGCGAGGTGCCAAATCAGCCTTCAGTGATCTGTTCCCCTGAACGGGCACAGGTGGCACCAAGCTGCATGTCCCTCGACCCGTTCCTGGAGGAGCCGTCTCTCAAAACAGCTGGACTTTTCTGCAACTGCTAATCATTCAGTCACTAAAGCAGTGTCATGGGGAGGGATCCCTGGCAGAAAGTAATACCCAGCACACACATGCAACTGCCGTCTACAGTCCTCTTTTACCAAAAAAAAAAAAAAGGATTGAAAAGTGAAAAATACAGCCGGCGGGATGCACGCTGCCATTAGCACAATCACGTCCGTGCTGCTTTCACCTCACTGAACTAGTTTGCACTGGGCCGTGACCACTGTCAAACTAATAACTTAGTTAGCTGGCATTCTGCATCAGCTGGGCTCCCAGTGCTGCCCGGCCTTGACAACACAAGTGAGCTGGCTTGTGTGCTTTTTGTATCCAGGTAATTTCCCATCCAGCAATCTCCAGGTGGCTCCGGGATGTCATCTCGTTGGCGCAGGAACCTGAAGACGGTGTGGTCCAGTGGGCAGGGAACCAGAGTGGAAGTCAAGAGACTACAATTCAATTCCTGTCTCTGCCACAGACTCTGTCCTGAACCACATGACCCCACCGTGCCTCAGTTTCCCCCCATGTCAAACAGAGATGATGGTGCTTTAGCCGCCATTGTAAAGTGCATTGATATCTATGAATGAGAAGGGCTGGAGAAGGCCTGAGTATGATTAATCTCCAGAAGCACAACAAAGCTCTCAAACCCAGAAAAGAAGACCCAGAGCTCCTTGAAGCCCACTAGGGACTAGACTGTTGCCACCAAATTTCATGTGGCAGGTGCTCAGCTATCACAACGGTAGGCAGGAGAGCAGAACCCGAAGACAGACAGACAGATTAAAAACCCAGAAAACTTCTGTATCTATACCGAAGCTGCACACAAAGTAGCTGCCACCTGGATTTTTTTTTAATAGTTGTTTCCTTGTAGAAACAGGGAATCTTTCGTTTTTATTAAGCTCTGTTGTGAGCAATGAAGTGGGGCAGGGGGTTTCCTATGAGGCCAGTTCTCATATCCCTGTATCCACAGGGGACAGACTAAATCTGCAATTCAGGAGGAGATACCACAGGCTTGTGTCAAACAGTAGGAAATGGTGCGTTTCCAGGGCAGCTGGGCTTGCAAACAAGCTTGCCTCCGCTTTAGGTTCTTTGGCACAGGGAATTAGAATCCCCAGGGCTATCTCGAGCAGCTAACTCCTTGCTTCTCTCCAGCGTTCGTTTCAGTGCTAACGTTCTGGTGAAACGCTGGCACTTCATGATGGCCACCCTCGGCCTGTGGGCTGCAGTGCAGATCCATTTTGCCCCACGGGCCTGGTCGGTGGCACCCACATGGGCAGATGGTCTCCAGGAGGGGTCTAGTCCAAAGCGTGGCAAAGAGACACAGGCGGCGAAAACGATCTCTTGCTTTTGTTTGTTTGCCCTTCAGTTTTTCAGTGTGTTGCTTCTTTCCCGACTTATTACCCCCGATGCAGACCTGCAGCTTCCTTACAACCCTCCCTATTCACCCTGGCTGTAGGCTATGGTAGGAGAAGGTAAGGAAGAGAGGGGTGAAATCCTGGCCCCATTGAAGCCAATAGGAGCTTTGCCATTGACTCCAGTGTGGTCATGATTTTGCCCAGTGTTTTTAATACCGGATAAAACGCTGCCCTGTGTTGCGTGGCACGGATTTCCTGGGGAAGCGAGCAGTGCCTGTTCTCTCATTCCCTGCCTTTGCCCTGGTGTCTTTGCAGGAGAGCGAGGATGCGGTGAAAGCACTTGCAAAAGAAAAGGATCTCCTGGAGCGCGAGAAGTGGGAGCTGCGCCGGCAAGCCAAAGAGGCGACAGACCACGCCAGCGCGCTCCGCTCCCAGCTGGACCTGAAAGACAACAGAATGAAGGAACTGGAAGCCGAGCTAGCCATGGTGAGAGCCCTCCCTCCTGCAGCTGTAGCTGGAGGCATTGGTTTAGGCTGGAGTGCAGACGGGGCACCTCTACGGGGCAGCTGGGAGGTGTAAATCGCAGCTCAGGAAGATGTTCTCCTGCTAGCTAAAAATCATAGAGATGTGGGGCTGGAAGGGACCTCGACAGGTCATCCAGTCCAGCCGCCTGCTCTGAGGCAGGACCAAGTAGACTCTCCCTCAAGTGTTTGTCCAGCCTGTTTTTAAAAAACCCCACAGATGGGGATTCCACACCCTCCCTTGGAAGCCTGTTCGAGTGCTTAGCTAGCCTTAAAGTGAGAGAGTTTTTCCTAATATCCAATCTCAATCCCTTGCCGCACTAAGCAGCGTGACCACAGCAGCTCAGGCGAGCCACCCGGGTACCACACTGTCTGAGATCCTGGGGCCATCCTTGAGCAACCAAGCCCAAGCAGAGTTACCGTGTGTGCAGGTACCCACTCTGGGAATTGCGTCTCCGAGCTGCAGCGGAGACGTACCTTAGAAAACCTCAGCCAGTCCAGAGTCGCTGCCATTACCATGAATTCTGTAGGGTTTGCTTTTGGTCTGATTCGCTGTGACGGCCCCTGCCCAGTGGATGTCTCCTGGCTGGACACTTTCACCTTAGCAGATGGTCGTATGTTTCTGGTCCAGCAAACCTAGACAGGCAGCCTTTCAAACCACCCTGGAAAGATACTTGCAGAAGCTGCGTTTCTGCCTCTGCAGTCATCTCAGGACCCTTGGCGATTCCCCCAGCACTCGTTATTTGCTGCCTTCATGCTGTAGCTGCCTGCGATGTGAACTCTATTTCCCAGGTGTTGAACAACCTGCAACTTTCCACACACACTGCAAAGTATGGCTAGGCTGCGGCAGCACCCTTGAAATCAATGTTTCCCTGCTTGGGTGATAAATGATCTCATTTTGTTAAGGGGGTTGCAGCACCGACCAAAGATACAATTGCCACAAATCGACCCTAATTGCCTTCAAAAGCTTGCCAGGAAAAGCAAAAACACAACAATCTCTTTGGAACCATTTTGTTTGTCTGGCTTCTCTGCAGATCGACATGGTACTGGAAGCCCAAGGTGAATGTCGTTGAAAGCAGGCACCCTTCTTACTTGTATGTCTGACTGTTCAACTGTAAGCTTCCTTGTATGCCGTCTGGCCAATGAATTAAGTAGAGAAGGTAAAGAGTTGAAAGGGTGTCTGGCAAGACTGGCAGGCTTCAGTATGATGTGCAGTTTCCTTTCATGAAATACATATGGATACTGTATCCCCATTCCCAGCACAGACACCCCTGCCTAGCTACACCAATACCGCTGTGACTGAGGCCTCCAAAAGGCTTAGAATTATCAAACGGGTGCAGACACGTACCCACATCACAAGTACCCGCACGTCCCCACTGTAATACACAAGTTCATACGCCTCTTTACTTACACATACAGTGCTGGATCTATTCAAACACATACCCGCAAGCGTATCCATAACCCAGTTCCTTCACCGCTCCAAGCACGTGTCCATGCACCCCCCCCATTCCTCTGCCCATATATGCCTACATATTCTTCAGCATTTGGCTCTGAAATCATAAGCAGGCTGGTTGTCAATTGCCTCCTGTGTTTTCACTGTTCAAAGCAAATTTCTGCCATAAAACACACATGACAGCTGGACATGCAGTCAATTTCCCCCCCAGCTTAGAAATATTCCCTGGTATTAAATAGATACATCACAATGTGTTGTGCGTCGATTCACCTTGCTCTGCATAATTTCACGGTGCACAGTCACTGCCTAACTGCGACACCTAGTGTTCAAAGCCTGTCTGGGGCTCAGTTGTCTCCAGAAAGTAGACTGGGTAGCTCAGAGAGAAGGAATATTGTGGTTTCTCACCTAGCTGAGAAAGGAATGTGCTTCACGGTAAAAACAGCAGATTTCAGGAAAGGGCACTGGGATCATTTCTCTTACCTTCATTGGACTGTCTGTTGAGAGCTAAAGATATCTTTCTTGGACTTGACTATAGAAAACACCTCAATGTTTCTAATATTAGGCCAGAATTCGGTCACATTTAATCATGGTGAGTGGCGCCTTGCAGTTAGCTCCATTGAAGGCAAGGGGGTTATTTGCAAAGGAAATTTGAGTAAAGGTGGAAGAATGGGCCCACAGTAATTCATATTTAAGGAATAAAGCTAGAGATTTTACAGTGCGTGACGGGTAGGGTGACCAGACAGCAAATGTGAAAAATCGGGACGGGGGTGGGGGTAATAGGAACCTATATAAGAAAAAGACCCAAAAATCGGGAGTGTCCCTATAAAATCGGGACATCTGGTCACCCTAGTGATGGGTAATCATGCTTAATAACATGGGTGTTATGCAGGTGAATTCACAGCAACCAACGTTTATGGCAAGTATTTCTGAAAAGGCGCTTACAACTTTTATAGCACAGTGTGACAAGGATATCTGTTAGATAACAATCATAGTTGTATAGGTGTGTTGTTTTTTTTAACTATTTAACTTATTTAAGGATAAGAATTTGAGATGCATTGCTTTAAAGGTGCTCTGCTTTTCAGAGTATTTCTCTTTTTTGTTAATTATTAAAACATTGATAGGGCCAAATCTCCAGCATAGCTCTGTTGGCTTCAACGGAGCTGGAGCTACGCCAATTTGCACCAGGATCTAGCCCTTAGTACCTCATTTGAGTTCCACCTCAGACATGTTTGCCTTATTGGCAGCACGTTGTGAGCTTGCCGGTCTGACTGTAATCCAGGAGTGTTTGCTTATTGGACATTAAGCCAGCAGTGTGCTTGTGATCTGATCACTGCCTCCGCAGTCCAAAATGTGGCTTGTTTCCTCACTTGAAGGATGTAGATGCTTGTCCTTAGATCTGGAGAAATGAACCGAGTCTTCCATGTTGCAGCCATTTGTGGCGATTGTGCATACATTCAGTGCTGGGACATCAACCAACAGATATTTCACTCATTCGCTCACCAAAGCCCCCTGGAAAACAGCAGTAGGTTGTGCAGATGTAAGATAGGTGAGCAGGATATGAACACATTAACAGAGGGCAGAGTTCCACCTACAGAACTTTGGAGGTGAGGTGTGAAAAGGGAAGAGGCCAACTTGGAGACTCATGCCCCAAATCTTCAAAGATATTTGAGCTCCTAACTCCCCTTGAGGATCTGGGCCTCTGTGCCTAGGGTGGCTTTGCAGGGAGTTAGGAAAACTCTCTCTCTCTCCTTGCCACCAAGCCCAGGTGAGGTGGAAGTGACTTTGACCCAGTAAACGTGGAGGCTGAGATCTTGTGTGCATGGTCAAGCTGTATCCTGGAGTGCCTTTTCCTAGCTGACTTCTAAACCCTTGAAAATCAGGTTTTATAATGGAAATCCTGACAGATCCTAAACCGTAGCAGCACTGTTGGCAATTCGTGCATGTTCTCTGAGTTGGGCCATTGTACATAATGTTCCATCGCCTTTCAGATGGATGGATGTTTTATTTCTGGGGCCTGTTATGCGGTATTTATATGCAAATTCCACACGCTGTTGCAGGAACCCTTCTATCTAGGCTTTTTCACAAAAGCAAAACACACTGGAGACGTGGAATACACGAGACTTAGATGCATATATTTACATTCAGTGTGTGCTGTGTGTTTTGTTGATTCCTCACTGCGGTAAAGGCAGCATAAGAGCAGGACTTGGGAGTCACTTTCTTAGCGTTAAATGGAGTTTGGTAGAACAGATAAGACAAAGCATTAAGTAGGATGCCCGGGGGGAAGGAGGAAAGAGGGAATTGGATGCATAAGAGAGTTTGGATTTTGTTTTTAATATATTGTGTCACACAGTCTGTCTTTTCCCTGCTTGTAGTTAGTGGGAATATTGCATAGGTAAGTTGAGTATTCGCTCCAAAGCTACAAAGAAAAATACCAGTAAATCGCGATTTGATTGGGTTTTTCTCTTCCTCTTTAAAAAGCGAATCACTTACCAATAATGGTTCCTCCCCAGGGACACGATCCAGAGTCCATCAAAGGGAAGACTCTCATTGACTTCAGCAGGCTTGGCTCAGGCACATAGGAGCTGATCTTGCACCCACTGACTCCACTGAGAGCAGGATTGGGCCCCAAAGGTGTCATGCATGGCTCCGGGTTCGTGGCTCACGTGTCCTGCAGTGCAACATTTGGGGTGTTCCCCAAAGAAATCCATTGCGAGGCTCAGGGCAGAGAAAGGGGTGTGCACGGCCTGTTGCTGCCAGCAGCTCCATTTGTACCTTAGGAGCAAATTCATGCCCTCCTTGTTCCTCTGAAGTCCGACCAAAGGCACCACATCATTTAATGCAACAGACCCTGATCCTTTAATCTGATCACTGACCTACCTCGACACCTGCACAGAGTCCCAGGGAAGTCAACAGGGGGCATAAAGGGACCACAGGCAGGGATCAAAATGCAGGACTGGGCCTTTAATAAGTGACACCTTGAGGGACTGGAAAAAACCCAGGCAGCCTATGATTTCCAAGGCACTTCAGAACTGTGGAAATATTCTGTGTTGTCCTAGTTATAAAACATCGAGTGAATCATGGGAGCTATTCTCTGCTGGCTAATTAAAAGGTACAGTCAAGCAACGGGCACCTCTTTAATGAGAATTTTCAAATTATTTGTACTTTGTAGATGCTTCTGTTTAATTTTTCAAAAAAGCAAAATATTGAACAGGGGGAAAGCGTCCCTCTGAGCCTGCCAAGTCCACCGGGAACAGCAGAAGAACAAACAGGCCCGTTTAACACATCTGAACCAAAGCCAACCGCTGACTTTCTCTGTGTGCCTTTGCCTTTCTTCATGAAATTTGGCACCGCTTACTGAATAAATCACTGGCTCCTGTATTTGCAGGAACAGCTGTTTCAGTTTTTGGTCCAGGTTTCTCTCAAAGGTAAATCACACGCTAATGCTTTGTTGTGCTGTTTTTGTTTTCTTTGCGATGACCAAGTAGGTTTGACTTCAACTGGCCAGCCTACCCCAGCTCAATCACTTATGCTTCGTCTTACCTGGGGGCTGCCGGAAAGCCGGGGCTGGCGTCCCAGCTCTCAACAAGTGCATGTTCTGTTTTGCACTCAATCAGATCTAAATGATATCTGCTTGCATTCTGAAATCCTATTATTGCAACATTGGCAATATCCCGCAGATCCCCCAGAAGAGTTAATTCTCAACCTTGGTAAAAGAAACCATGTCTTTTGGGAGGATTTAACCCTAAAAGCAGCACCTACATCATGTTTTCTTCTTGGAGCGTGAAACTGGCCCCCGTGCGTTGTGTTAGCCCCTCTGCACAGAGGTGACTTGAACGCACTGCAATCTGAGTGCTGTCTTGAGAGAAGTGTTTCATTGTCTTGTGTTTTGTTCTTTTATCCCATAAGGCCAAGCAGTCCTTAGCCACGTTAACCAAGGATGTCCCCAAGCGTCACTCGTTAGCCATGCCAGGCGAGACCGTGTTGAATGGGAATCAGGAATGGGTGATGCAGGCGGATCTCCCGCTCACAGCTGCTATCCGGCAGAGCCAGCAGACGCTTTATCATGCGCACCCCCAGCACTCAGCAGATCGACAAGGTGAGCGACTAGCCAGCCACAAACCCCTTTGGGAAACCTCTGTAATCTCTTCTGCCTTTAAGACGATGGCATTCTTGATAAAATTGAGCACCTCCTTGTTCCTGCTAAGGGTTAGTCTTGTGTACTGTGGCAGGGAGGGAAATAAAGTCCAGTAGCTTGGTATGACTCCGCTCCAAGGAGAGGTGGGTATAGGAGAAAGATTTAAATACATATGAGAGTTCCGGAGGCATGAGGCCAGATCCCCAGGTCGTAGCTACACTGGCGCCAGTGTATCTATGCCAGTCTACACCTGATGAGGATCTGGCCCACAGCCTTGAGCCAACTTTGATCTGAAGCTTAACAATTTCCCTTTTGAATGTCAACAATTCTCATTCATTTTAAAATTAGGGTTTATCTTCAGCACTGAGGATTTTCACCCCTGTATTCCCCTCTTTCAGGTGAGGTGCAAGCCTGAGGCCTTCGGGTCATTGAAGTTTTAGGATTCTTTTGAATCCCAGTTAAGATAAATTACGTTCTGCCCCCTAAAATCCCTCCTGAGGGATCCAGTGAATACACAACATTCTTTGTTCCTTCCTGTTCCAAGCGGTTACGCGGTGCTGCAGTGCCCTGTAACAGCGGCCACCTTTCACCCCAGAGGTTGGCTGAGTTTCAGTGGTTGGGCTGACGTCATCCTCAGCTCTCGCTTTCTTGTCTCCTCCAGATGTTGTAAGGCTTAATCGAGGCCTAGCTGTAAAGCATGTGATGTTTGGAGAAGGGGTGCTGTGGGAGGGCAAAGGGATTCACTGCTTCTACCCTCTGTGGTACAAGTCTCTCCCGTGGTTTGACAAGGGCATGTAAGAAACCCGACCAGGTCTCAAAATCCAGATTCAGCTGGGCAGCCTGCTGAACTAATCCCCTTTCAGGGAGCAGCTTCAACTCCGCTTCAGAGCAGCAGGCTGGAGTAAATGGAGGCTGGTCTCCCTGCTCTCTGCCTTCCACGCTGTGAACTGGGGCCAGGATGTTCAAACCTGGGGGCGTAGAGTTGGCCATCCGAGTAAGGGGCCTGACTTTCCAAGCAGCCACAGTCAATGGGAGCTCGGCACTTCTGGAAATCAGGGCCCGCGCTTAGGCACCTAATAATAATGGATCTGTCTTTATTATCTGTACTGCAGTAGCACATTAAAGCCCCCGGTGAGATCCGACCCTCCTTGTGCCAGGCGCTGTACAAACGCATAGTAAGAGAGAGTCCCTGCCAGGTAGAGCTGAACACGCTAAATGGATGTAGCTGCCCAGCTTGAAATGCCCACGTTGGAAAGTATTGGCCTCACTGGAGCCTACACTCTCTTGCTTGAGTGCATGATGCTGTTTCAAGGCCCCCAAGCAGGCTTTGCCCTCTTCCCTTTCAATTCTAAGCTATCCTATGTGCTCTCCCTGTTCCAATAACCTACCCAGCACCCCAACTGTTTGCAACCAAAGCCCAGGCCTCGGGAAGCAGCAGTTCCCAGCCTTTCCTGAGAGGTGATCTCAAAGGCGTCAGCGCCTCGTTCCTTTAAGCCCTGCAAAGGCAGATCAGGGAGGAGGATGCATTTGCTCAGAAGTCGGCGGCGAGCACCACGCCGCAGAGGAATTTGTTCGCAAGCAGAAGGGCGCCTGCGCCCTGCCCTGCCTGCGCCCTGCCCTGCCTGCAAAGCCGTGAGAGCTCCGGGCGCCTGTGGCGTGGAATTGCACGTTCATGGGCTGCTGCCGGTTTCTAATATTCTCTGGCAGTTCAAGGATTGCCCTCGCTCTCAGCAGAAGGTGAAACGCTGCAGCACTAGATAACCTGGCATCTGTATACGGGACAAGGATGCAGCGTTCAAGGAGTCTCATCTTCTCACCCCTTAGTACAAATATTCCAGTAATGGCTCAGAACACTGGAGTGACACTGCTCTAGCGCATGAGCTCTTATTGCAGCGCACTGTAGTATCCCAGTGTCCTTCACACAGCTGTTGTGGGTGATTACAGTCTGCCTCTGTACATCCACACACACCCCTGCAATTTCGGTTTCATACAACATGCTTCCTGCCCTGCGGTGGTGTGAAACAGCTGCCACGTTCAAGGCCATAGATGGTTTCCCTGCAGTGGTGGGTGACTCCAGGAGATTTTCGAAGGAGCCTAAGGGAGTTAGACACCCAGCTCCCATTCGGAATTAGGTATCTGACTCTCTTAGCTGCTTTTGAAAAACCCCGTCAGCATGTTCAGGAAACACTTCGGGATCCATTTGGATTAAAGCTGTGTGCTCAACCAAAGGACATTATCCTTCTTTCTCACAAGGCATAGGTGATACCTGGGCTTGGATGGGCCCCAAGGATCCCGTTTTTAACCACAACAATAATCTTTGCTCTTCTGTAGCGCTGCTCACGTAGGGATCTCAAAGCACTTTACAGACGTTAATGTACTGAAGTGACTATTACTTTCCTCATTTGCAAGTGGGGTACCTGGAGCCCAAACATTAAAGAACTTGCCCATGGCCACAGAACACGTCTCTGTCACAGGTAGGCATGGCACCCAGGTGTCCTCACGGCCAGTGCTGTGCTCAAACCATTGCCCCGTGCTGGAGTCGTCCGGCACAATAGAGCTTCATTTCGGTGCCTTTCATGCTCAGGGACTCACCAAGGAAAGTGACTATTGGGATGGTCATTATCATCTCAAATTATTGAGTAGCAACCCTGGGGAGCCCCCACCACGGGCAGGAAGGATGGAAAAAAACAGTAACTTATTAGCGTGTCATCATCTGAAATGTAAGAAATTCCCACCAAAAAATGTTTGCAGCCATATTAGAGCTTGAACACTATGTAGGGCCAACTGGACCAGCCTACAAACTTCTAGGGTGAGTTGTTTTAAAAGGACAATATCAAGAGTGTTTGTTTATAAATATGTTCATTTAATCTTCCCACTTTACAAATATCATCAGAAATTAGTGATAGATTAAATTCATTCACCTTTGACTATGAAATTAGTCTGGTCGGTTTCTGAGTCTCCCACCACAGCACCGTGCTCCGGGGTTTGACTTCACAATATTGCAAGGGACTGTCTGGATCTTAAACAAGAAAACCTGCAACATTTATTAATGTTTCTATTCATCCTTTCTGTCTTTTACCCACCAAACCTAACTATGGGACCCAGACTAAATTGATCGTGTTCCTTTGAGCAAACCGCATTCCACGTGGGGCCAAAGAAAGTCGTTATGTTATTTAGCTTGGATTATGAAGATGCTTCTCCCTTTGGCACAAGTTGTTACCCATCTAACTAATTATCATAGAATCATAGACTATTAGGGTTGGAAGAGACCTCAGGAGATCATCTAGTCCAACCCCCTGCTCAAAGCAGGACCAACACCCACTAAATCATCCCAGCCAGGGCTTTGTCAAGCTGGGCTTTAAAAACCTCTAAGGAAGGTGATTCCGCTACCTCCCTAGGTAACCCATTCCAGTAACCCAAACCCTCCTAGTGAAATAGTGTTTCCTAATATCCAACCTACACCTCCCCCACTGCAACTTGAAACCACTGCTCCTTGTTCTGTCAGGGTCTAAATAAAGAAGGGAGACTAAGGATCTTTACAGATAGGGAACAGAAGCTCAGAGAAATGTTGGGATTTGCCCAAGCTCACGCAGTTAAGTTGCGGCAGAACCGGGACCTGAATCCAGGTCTCTAGTCCAACAGCTGAGCCATCGCACCCTCTCTATCTCTGCAGCTGCCCCCCCAGAAGTTACAGGCAGGATAGCAGATCTGCGGCGTTATACGGTCGTCTAAAGCATTCATCCAACACCCCAGCCTGCGACTGTCCGTGTATAAACACAGCACTGGAGAGAACCAAATTCACAGACCGAGAATGGTGTAGTATCCGAGCTAAAGCAGGGAGGGCACCGAGATGAATATACTAATTCCACTGAGCCCTAACTCTGCTCCTTGCCTTCCAGCTGTCAGAGTGAGTCCGTGTCATTCACGGCAGCCTTCCATCATCTCCGATGCGTCAGCAGCAGAAGGCGATAGGTCATCGACGCCAAGTGACATCAACTCGCCCCGGCATCGGACGCATTCCCTCTGCAATGTAAGGCAGTTGTGAGGTCGTTTGTGACTCTTAACATCCGTGCTAATGTTTCTAACCCTAACCATCACTCTTACCTGCTTGTCTTTTGCCAGCCCTTCTTCTGGGGCCTGAGCCAAAGCCCACCAACGACAAGGCAAAGCCTCTCACCGGGCTTTCGATCAGACTAGTCATGTAAATCCTGAGTTTGAATGGGACTTAAAATTACCCACATCCCAACCAGGAATTGGTTCTACACTGCCTGACTCGGTGTTCTCACTTGCACCTCTGCAAAGTGCGTGTCCCTGGCTCTCACTTTGCACTGGCGGCCACGCCCACACACAGTACGAGGCAGTGGGGAATCCACGTCCCTCTTTTCAAGAGCTGTGCAAAAATGTTGCATCTCTGATTTTAGTAAAATGTCCTGAAGAAACAACTATAATTTTGTGCCAGGCCATTATTTTTGCAGCCCGGAACCTGGATTGCAAAGAGGTTGATTGAAATGGCAGTTTTCCTAACTAGACATTCGGAATCTCTCAGGTTTCCAGGAGAGGAACAAGCTTCAGCAAAGCGAAAATTTATGAACGTACTTAAAAACAGATCCATGTTCGAGTTGGACCTGGACTGAGACTTTGACAAAGTGTTTCTCCCCTCGGGCTCCATGTTCTAGGCTTTGATTGAGGACGTGCAGAGCTTTACAGTTTCTCATGATGTGACGTCCCCTTCTCCCCCCCGCCCCCCAAATCAATCAAAATTGAGCAACTGAGACCTAGTTTCACTCTCAGCTTTCAAATTCCTCTGAATCAAACTTGAGAGCTGGGAAGCCACATGAGTCAAAATGAAAACAGGGTTTGTCAAACTCCCTGTGAACTGAAGAGGCACAGAGCTTCCAGCCACAGTCACTGGGTCAACCACACACTTGCAGCACCGGGGACAGAACTTACCCTCTTCCTCTCCAAAAGCATAGCTGTGAGTTTAAAGGAGACTCTCCATTAGCGAACGGATTTAGGGCTGATACTGTCTCTAGCCACTAGAGGGAGACATGATCTCTCACACTGAGCTGGTGTGAATCCACATTTCTGCTCTCCTTTTACGCTGGTATAAATCTACAGTAATTCCATCCGTGAAGTTACTCTTGATGTATAACAGTGTGTAAATGAAAGCAGAATTCGGCCCTTTGCATTCCTAGAGGCATCGGCATCTCCAAAGCCCACCCTCACAGCTGAGGCTCACCGAGCCTCTCGCTGGCAGGGAGACCAATGGAGGAGGGGGGTGGGGGGGTGGCACAGGCTTGTCTGCACATGAAAATTCATCCTGAACAAGGTACGGTACGAATTTAAAACAGATTAACTATTCCTGATTCCAGAATACGGGCTTGTCTAGACCAACAGTTCACGGCAAGCTGGGATGTAAATCTACCTATTTCTAGCCTGCCACGCACTGTGTCCAGAATAGACCCTGCTGCCGTGCACCGGCAGTTCTTGTGTGCTTTGAGCTCCCCCTCTTTGAAATGGGAGCAGATTAAAGTGCATTAGGGAACTTTCAGTGCACGACAGCAGCGTCCAGACAGCCAGTGAGTGTGCAGCAGGCTAGTGCGGGGTAGATTTTCACCTCAGTTTACCATGCACAAACTGTCTGTGTAAACAAGCCCTAAGAGTGTCTGTTTCCAAGTTAGGGTACGTCTATATTTACCTCCGGGTCCGGTGGTAAGCAATCAATCAATTTATCGCGTCTTGTCTAGACGCGGTAAATCGATCCCGGAAGTGCTCGCCGTCGACGCCGGTACTCCTGCTCCGCGAGAGTAGTACCCGGAGTCGACGGGGGAGCCTGCCTGCCGCGTGTGGACCCGCGGTAAGTTCAAACTAAGATAGTTCGACTTCAGCTACGTTATACACGTAGCTGAAGTTGCGTATCTTAGTTCGAACTGGGGGGTTAGTGTGGACCAGCCCTTAGTTTAAGTAGCTTTCCTACAGGAAGGACCGATTGGATTAAACTAATTCAGAATAAGGCACTCCTATTCCGGAACAAGGGCATCCACACATGGCGTTAATCGGGAATAGCTAATCTGAAACAACTCGCTGTGGAGACAAGCCCTTAGAGCTAACTTTTAGTGAGCAGATTTATTTGTGTGGCTTTTGTAGTTCGAACAGTCATGCTTTCACCTTGGCTGTTCCTCCCATTTCAAATAGTTTGTGTGTCTCTCTCTCTCGCTCACACACACACACACACACACCCCTACCTCTCAGGCATGGTACGTTCCACTCAGTGGTCTGTTCTTTTCACTCCCTAATTTTGATTAGTACTAGGATGGTGCTTCCTAGCTGGGTCTAAACCCAAATGGGCAGAATATGCAGATCTTCCCAAATCCTTGTGCAAGCTGATAACAAGGCCATTTCCCATGGAGTCCTGGACCATTCCCACATAAAGCATCCAGCACCCTGAACAGTGCTGTCCAAATAATAATGATTTATTACTAATTGGTGATAGTCAGGCACGTCCCCCCTCATTAACGAGGGGCTAGCTTCAGTCCTCCTCGTTACATTTTTGCTTGACCAATTACATCCACCACCTGTGGCATTTGAATCAATCTATGAGTCAGAGGGGCTCTGAGTTCAGGGAGTAGATCTCAGTCTAAAGGAGCGTAAGCTGGTGTAAACTCCATGCTTAGGGGGCCAGAAGAGAAGGATGTAATAAAGAGCTGAGAAGAGGTAGTAAAGCAGGCCCATCTCCACACCAAATTGGTCACTTGGCATGTCTGTTTCACCAATGCAGGCTCCTTTCCACCTGCTCACCATTGCCTTCGAACCTGGCCCGACACGAATTAATGTGACAATCTGTGGCATTTCCTATACCGGTCCAGAACCAGTGGCATTAGCCCTTGCTAACAGGCAGAGGCAGACCAACTCGGAACAGCATAAACGGTGGCTCCAGATTAAACTTTTCCTCTTTAGTGTCTTGACCTGGGAAAGGGACCTGGACCGAAATGTCTGCATTCATCTGGATTTTATTTTTGTTACTAATGTGGGTTGGAAGGGTGCGTCTGGGCTCTGAGAAGCACCCCGAAGTTTGGGTGTTTCTCAGAAATTTCTCTGGTTTGCAAAGATGAGACAAAGGTGCAGGAGTCGTGAGAACAAAGGGTTAAATGAATCTTGTCTCGGTTCAAGGGAGTTTGGTTGAGTTCAGCGGATTCACCCTTCTTTATTCTGAGATTCTGATTTTTCCAAAACCATGTTTGAATTTCCCTCTTGGTTGCCCTCAGCCTAGTCTCTGTGGCATAGTCTAGGGAACATACAGTTTTACCTGCCTCCGCATGATCTTCTCTTTTCCCAAATCCCTCTTCTCCTTCCCAAAACAAATTGGCTTCAACATGAAACAGCAGCAACTTTGCACCAGCTAATGCTCTGAAGCCCAGAAATAAGCAGGATTTCCAGAGAGAGAGAGAGAGCTGCTGGGTGTGCGTTTATATCCCCGGGCCGGTTTTGCTCTAGCAGTGCTGTGTGGTACTAGGGCTGTGTTTATGCTGTTTCAATGTGATCTGTCTCCTTCTACCGGTAGGGGGATAGTCCTGGACCGGTACAGAAGAACTTGCACAACCCAATTGTACAGGTAGGAAACCAATTGCCTTTCTTGACCAATCTCCTAATGAAATAGTTTATTAATGCGAAGCGTGGTTGACACACACACATGGTGCAGAGGCCAGAGTCATGTGAAATGCCGAATAGGTATATTGTAAGGGCTTGTCTACACTACCACGCAAGGTCGATCTAAGCTACGTGAATAGTGTAGCTGAAGTCGACATACTTCTATCTACGCACCGCGGTGTCTTCACTGCGGTAAGTCAACAGCTGGCGCTCTCCCGTCGACTCCGCTTGTGCTTCTAGTTCTGGTGCAGTACTGGAGTTGACGGGAAAGCGCTCAGCGGTCGATTTATCGTGTCTAGACAAGACATGATAAATCAACCCCTGCTGAATCGATCGCTGCCCACCGATCCAGCGGGTAGTGTAGACAACCCCCAAGTATATAGATAGACCATGATTGGTAACATCTGTCAGCTTTGGAAATGGGTCTGAATGAAAACTCTGGATTTGAGCCATCCTCAACTTTGGATCCAGAGCCAAACTCTCTGACTCCAGCCCAGCTGTAGTCGAGGAGATGAGAGAAGAGTTCAGGCATCACGTTTCAGAGAGAATGGCAGATACTGGGAATAGCAGTTGCCTTTTTAGAGAGGGGGATGGACCCGCAAAAGAGTCCAATCTGGTGTAAACTGCACCTTCTGTCAGCTCCTCGGTATCGGTTACACCAGCGTAGGCTACGTCTACACCAGGAGCGAGGGAGGATGATTGCCAGGCACACTCCTGCTAGCTTGGGGAGCTGCTAGTGCACTAAAAATAGAACAGCCCTGGCAGAACAGGCAGGGGTGAGCAGCGGCATGAGCTAGCTATGCTGGGTCCAGTCGGGTGGGTGCAGAACGGTGGAAACCAAAGTAACTGAGGCCCTGTCTACATGAAAGAAAGGTGCAGTGGTGTAACTAAATGATGTGCTGCACCAGCCTCACGCAGGGCTTCATCTGATGCATCATCGTCCCGTGACATCCCCCCGTAAGCTGCAGCTGGGGAGCCAAATACCTTAGGGCTTGCACTGGGGAACTGCATTGAAATAGCTACACCGTTGTAAATGTTCTTAGCAGACAGGACCTTAGACTCATTCTGCACACCGCGGGGGGTTGGATTGCAGATGGGCCTGTGCCCCAGCTGTCCCTGAACTGTGGGGTGTTCCAAATATAAACGAGCCGCACCAAAACCCTGGGTCCAAACACTGGCATTCCCGCCCCCCAAGAACTCTTGTGGTGGTCAAAATCCAGCTGTAATAGAATGTCAGGGTTGGAAGGGACCTCAGGAGGTCATCAAGTCCAACCTCCTCCTCAAAGCAGGACCAATCCCCATACAGATTTTTGCCCCAGATCCCTAAATGGCCCCCTCAAGGATTGAACTCACAACCCTGGGTTTAGCAGGCCAATGCTCAAACCACTGAGCTATCCCTTCCCCCTTTTGACCCACATCCCCAAAGGTATTTAGGATTCAATGGGAGTTAGACACCTACATTATTTTGAGGCTCTGGGCCTTAGAGTCCTGTCTCCGGTTTGAATAAACCCAAACTTCAAGGCAGAGCTCAGTCAAACGACTCTCCTATTTTACCCGCAAAAAAACCCCACACTAAGCCCAGTGTGAAACCCTGCCCCCCCCCCCCCTCGAAGTAAGTGGTAAAACTCCCACTTTGTAGGGTGAAATCTTGACTCCACTAAATCCTCCCAGGTTTGCTCAAAAGTTTCCATAGGCTTTCTGACACACTGACCCACGTTTTGAGCTTGTTCTGTCTGGTTCTAGTGCTTTAGCCTAAGTTAAAGAACAGGTAGGGGAGTCCATGGGGTCAGGGCCGGCTCTACTGTTTTTGCCACCCCAACCAGCACGCCGAATTGCCGCTGCAGATGGCGGGGGCAGTCTGTGTGCTGTTAGGGCGGCACGCGCGTTTCCGCGGCAGCGGCAATTCGGCGCGCTGCTCGGGGCGGCAAAAACACACAGAGTGCCGCCCCTTGCAGGTTGCCACCCCAAGCACCTGGTTGGAATGCTGGTGTCTGGAGCCGGCCCTGAATACGGTATGTAAAAGTGCTACATTCTGCACAAAGCAATGCACCTGAATTTAAGAAAACAAGAACTTCCATCATATTCATCTGCAATCCTCTCCCCAGGCGCCACCGTGCCAGAGTTTCTCTGTAGCATCCTTCCACTTAAAGCTCCCCTCTGGCTCCCATTAAGTTGAATGAGACTTTTGCTACAATGCAAGGGGCACTGGCAGAGCTGGGGGTGGATCCCAGGGCTGGGCTAGCAGGGGCTGCGGGTCGGGAGTGAGGGGCTCAGATCCCATTTCCTTAGGCTGAGGTTGGTTGCTTTTGGATTGCAGGAAAGGGGGTGATTGGGGCTGGATTTTTTCCCCCTTACTCTGGTGCTGGAATTTATTAGACCCTGTTGCCTTTTCACAAAGTACTATTAATTTTAATAACATCTCCAATGCATGGATACTATGTAAATAAATATTATGGTTATTATTTAGGATAAGAGACGGTCCAAGTACAGGGTCCAAACCAAAGCCCAATTCGCCTTCAGTGATATCAGATTAGGCCCTTATTAATTTCTTCACATATTTTAAAATACACCAATAGGCACCTGCCCTCTGCTCGGGGTGCCGAACCTGTAAATGAAAAATTACAACGGGACAGCCCATAAACATCTCCACCTCAACCCACAGGCGCCTCCCCAGCTTGCCTGGAAGAGCAACAACTCCGGGCTCTTGTGGACCCGAGGGTGGGGAGCAAATTCCAAAATTGAGGGCCCCTGCCAGCAGCTCCTTCTCATTTACATTACGGGAGCTCCAGCTTGAGCGCTGTTGCTGATTGTGTAGGCGTTCTCCTGACTGTCTGGACCATCCCCTTGCCCTAGTTATCAAGGCTGAGATATTTAAAGCCACCAAAGGAATTTGGATGTCTGTGCACTTCACAGTCCCTTAGATGGAGATTTTTGAAAGCTAACCATCGTAGGGTTTTAGCCTGCTGCCCATCACCATAGCATCTGGGCACTTTCCACATAAAACCAATAGCTATAGCAGTCCCCAGTGGCCTCCATGGAGTCTCTGGCTCTTCTCCTTTCCCTCGTATAGTTCCTGCCCCACTCCAACCTGTGAGCACCTTCTCTCCCCAGATTGTTTATTGTCGACGCTCATGTTATTTCCCTTTCTTTCTTCTCCCTCCGCTTTGCAGTCTCTAGAGGACCTTGAAGACCAAAAACGAAAAAAGAAGAAAGAGAAGATGGGATTTGGTTCCATCTCCAGAGTATTTGCCAGAGGGAAGCAGCGGAAATCCCTAGACCCGGGCCTCTTTGATGGTACTGCTCCCGATTATTACATAGAGGAAGACGCAGACTGGTGACCCCTCCCCTCCCCAAGCTGGTAGCTTGCCTCCTTCCTCTGCTGCCGGTGTGCGTGCGTGGGCGGGTGTGTGGTTGTGTGTGTGTGGATGCATCTAACTAAAAAAAAGAAAGTGAGCCTTTTTCCTCCGCGTCGCCACTTCTGTAACTGATGTACATACTACAAACAAAGCCTGTGTGTGACTATGTTAACTGTTGTCTTTGGAGCGATGCAGTTGTGTTGTAATCCTCTCGTTTTGTTCCTATTTTTTGTTTTGTTTGGGTTTTTTTGGTTTTTGATTTTTTTTCTTAATGAAACTTGAAACTTGAAGGACTGCTGTGTATTTGTAAATAACAAAAATATTGTGCACTTTGTGCTTGTGACGTCTCTTGTCCAAAAACGCTGTTTTCTTGAGCCCCTCATGTCGGTGCATTCTGTATCTGGTATGTTCTAAAAGTCAGGGGTTGGAGGGGACAGTATCCTATTCACAGGGTGCACCTGAGTTACAAAAACATTAGGCTCTGCCTATCCAGAAAGACCTTAAAATCTCACTCAGTGTGACGTCTTCCTGGCCAAAATCTCAGGAGGCAACACTGTTCTCTTTTGAATGCCTGTCAGCCTGGAATGATGGTTTAACTTTCCTTTGATTGTTTAGTTTAATTTATTTGCGCAAATCCAGAAGAGCTATTCTAACTAAATTATTGCATAAAGATTGGAATTTATATTTTTCCACAATGGTTTGGATGGGGATGGGAGGGTGTGTTTATACTGTACTGTTCTATTAAACTGCTGCCTGCAGAACTAGGGTAGGATTGGGTAGAAGTTGAGAGAATCAGTTTTTCTATTTTTGTCTTTGTGGGTTTTTTTTTTTCCAAATGAATTTCTGTTGCATTTCTCTGTTTCTCATGCTAACATGGTGTACGTTTCCCCTATCCCGCAGTCGATCTAGACAGCAGGATCGGGGACCCAGATTGCTACATAGGAAGTATAACCAGGTCAGATATGTACAGATATCTTTATCTAAAACTATTTTAAAAATGCTCAACGTATTGGAAAAGAGCAACAGTGATATTTATTATGGAATAATGTAGCGGAAAATGTTAGACTGCAAAGCAGACCGGCCTTTTCAGTACTGCATGTATTTGGAAGGAAGCACTGACCTTTGCTTTGATTGTATTTTCTGGCCACAGAAACATACAATTTGTTTTTGCCTCATGTCTGCGGCTTTTCCTATATACTGCATTCATTTGGGTTATTAATAAGAAAGGGGGATAAAGCGTGGCTTAAGGAACCAAGGCCCTGATTCAGCAATCCATCTCTTTGCAGGAAAGTACTTAAGTCCCATTGACTTCAATGTGACTTAAACACCATCTTAAAGTTATGTGCTTTGTTGAATGGGAACTAAAAGACTTCAGAGTAAAGTAGGGAGTGAGTCAGACTGTAAATATCAGGAAACAGCATTGGATCAGATGCTTGGGGAACACTGGAAAACTGTTCCGTATCCAATGCTGTTAACTCAGTCCTGGGATATTTATTTTGTCTGTAAGAAAACTGGTCTGGGTCTGGGCTACTCCCGTCATTCATCCCACAGTGCAGCAGTCTAATAACTTTGGTGCCCCCAGGTAAGCAAAGCTGACAGGTGCATCTCTTCAACCCTTAGTGTGGGGCATTGTTTCCTTCTAACTCTGCTTCACAAGCAAACAAATGTGCATTTTGGAAAGACCAGGTAATTTGATGCAGTTGCTTCTGAAACCATGTCTGCTCAGTCTCTTCTAAATTCTAGTTTATTCGGGGGTGGAGATTTTTACCAGTGCACCTAAAAGATTTAGAAGCACAAAGCCCACTCTTTTTACTGGGGACTTGTGCTCCTAAATCCATTAGGCTCTCTTCAAAATGTGATTCCCCCCCCCCCCCTCTTTCCACTAACATGCATAGCTATCTGGTTACTACAAAATACAGTGCGTCGTGCTTTAATGCTTACAATACAATTTTACGCTCTTAAAGTTAAGATTATTTAATAAAATACTATTGTGTATTTTTTTTTAATTCCAATACGTGCACCCTGTTTGAAAGGGATATTTTGTCTTTAATTATGAAACTAAAACACACAATACCACCATGCTACATTTCCTTCTAACAGAAGGATCTGGAGAAACCACAGGGGGTTAGGGAAAGTGGCTTTAAATATCTGCTCTGCTTTGCAACGGGGATGTGTCCAAAACCAGGGTGGGGGGGAACGACCCTGTTGCATCTTTCTCTGCAGAGGAACATTTTTATACATTTTTCCCCTCTTGTGTTTTTATAATTTAAAAACAAGCAAGCAAAACTCCTGATTATTTTAGTAGTTTCCTTTTCATTTCAGCTTTTCTAAATTAGGAAATAATTCTAAAAAAGTTACTAAGAGGATGATTTATTTAAAAGAAAACTACAATGAATAGCATATGAATTATGGGTAATATTAGATTTAACTCTTCCCGCGTGAGTGGGGAAGAGTCCTTGAAGGCATGGATGCAAATATAAAAATATTAAAAAAATAAAAAAACCCTAAATAAAGCTTATTTTAAAGTATGAATGAATTCTATGTGATTTAATTGTTTCTAAGCTGTGTTTGCTTGGCCTGGATCCTTGGCTAGTCCGGGTGATTAAATTGGATCGTATATATTGTCACATACTGTAATACAAATTCAGTATTTATACCACTTGCCAGCGGGGTAGCTGAAGCTCTGCTAGTTATTTGTCCATTTCCTCAGAACCAGAGTTTGCCTAATATAGCGATTTCTTTCCAGCCACTTGGGAAGGATTTGAAGTTTCAGAAACTTGACTCAACGCACATCTACAGAAGCTGTTGCGGCTTTGGAATCCCGTAACTGACTTTTTTAGGGAGATTCCAAGAACTGCCTGGGGGGCTGGGGAGAGAATCGAGGCCTATAGACAAGAACTTTCATTTCCTCTTTAAAACTCACCTCCGCTGTCCAGTATTTTCCAGCCCTTGTGGCTGTATCCACCTTAACAAAAGAAAGGGGGGGGGGAAATATCTCCTTTCATGACTTGCCGATGAAAAATGATATATTTGAAGCTAAATCATTCCCTAGACAAGACAGCAAGGTGGAAGGGAGCAGAGACTCTGCTCATTGGGTCTTTGGCTGCAAGAAGCCCTGGCCAGGAAAGGATTCGAATAGGAGGACATGCTCTTAAGTCTGCCTTGTTTATCCTCTGAGCAGGAAAAACATGCAGACCCAAAAATCAATGTGCTAGTATTTGCTGCTCATGGCAGTGTGAATGTCAGCTGACCATGGGGACTAGCCGCCCCAACTCAGCCCACACTCTAAGGAAGCTATAGTTCGTAGGCTCCCCTAACTGTGAATCACAGTCAGCCTCTTTCTCCCCATCATGTGCTGGATTCTGTAGCTGCTATCAAGTACGGCAGCTGAGGACTGAACTGGCTTTCACAAAACCTGCATGAAATTGAAATGCTCCCCCCCCCCGCTTTTCTTTTTAATTTCAACCCCAAGGTTTGGATGGACCTGAACATTTCCCCCGGGGTGCTGCCAACCCAAACATAGCAGGGTTCGCTAGAAAGTGAAACTCGTCTAGAAACAGCAGCTGAAACCAACTGGTCTAGTTTCACTGGTTTTGATTTTTCTTTGCATTTTGCTCAGTACGGAGGATGAAAGAACTATGTTAAAACTTTTTCTTTCACAAATCAAGATAGAGTGAGTAATAGGAGGCCAAACTGTTAGGCCCAATTCACCCACTGCCCCTCATTCTAAAGGTACATGGCTCCTAGTCTCACGTATCAGAGAATCTCTCAGTCAAATGTGTTTATCCCAGGCTAGCGTCCTCCTCACCGGACCGCACTCCAGCTCCACTACAGGGAGGACAAGGCGACAGAATGGCCCTGTCTGCCCCTTGCCCTCTTGTAGACCACCACCGTGTATGGGGGGGAGGGGAGAGGAGGTAGGGGGACTTAAAGGGGAGAACGTGGAGCCGTATGGGAATGACTGGGGAAGAGGGAAATGGTGATTTGGGTGGAGAAAAAAATCCTAGCAAAAACTGCAGAAGAAAAGAGGATGAGTGGGAGGAAAGGGAGAGGCTGTACAGAAAACCTGACCATCTTTCACTTGAACTTGAATTGGGCTGGCTTTGAATGCGTTGAATACTGTAGCACTCAAATGGGGGAAGTAGCAGCAGGCAAGTAACCTAGCTTTAGTAGAGGAACCTAGGAAATCCTTACCTAGGGCAGCTCCATTTGGAGCGGCAGGGAAAACTGCAAATCCCAAACAATGCTAGAAACACACCCACTTGGTGAACACAGAAGCCAGACCAGTCTCTTGAGCGAGTCCAACAGTGATGCTGAATCTGGGATCTGAGCTTTCCCATGGCTCAAGGATGTTTAGACCTGGGGTTGCGTTTGGCCCCGTACAGGGCCAGCTGTAAAGTTTGGTCGTGGAGCCAAACTATTCTAAACTCTAAGGATCTTTGAACCAGGGATTTTGGCTCAGGCTTATCTCCCAGTCGATATAGGGCGGTGACTTTTAGAGTTGGAACTGGCGTCGAGAATCTAGCAAAAGGTTTAGTAGACCAGACAACCAGGTGGTGAAGTAAACTGTCTCCAACTTTGGGTTGTAAATCTTTCAAGGTGGCAGTTAGAATTTCATGACCAGTGCAAAATACAGTAGGAGCTGGGGTAGGGAGCGGTGATCCCAGAGGCACCAGCAGGTAAGTAATTGCACCGTTCTGAGAAGAATATGGAAACAAAATGCAGGAGGGCAGAAAGTAGAGGCCTCTTCGTGGGAAACTTGGGGCTCTCTCGAGCGTCAAGTGGAGCAATTCCTGAGAAGTTAACTAAGAACTTATCTGATGATTATTCTGGTCAGGGAAAGTAGAGACCTTTGATGTCCCTGCACAGGAGAGAGAGAGAGGAGTTACTCCACTTCCTCCTTCAATGGGAGTTATCCCTTTCTGATAACTGCTTATG